TTGCCGCCGCTTGCTCTTGATTCGTTGAGTTGCAATAAGAGGACAAGTGATCATTTCCTCCACAAGTCTCACAAGATATGACTTGTGAGGAAGAGCTTGAGGGTGTGAGGGTGGCTTGATCTAACTTGTGAGCTAACATATCAAACTTTGATGCAATAAGATCTATTGCACTAAGATCATGAATTCCGCCCTTCTTCGTTTGTGGTTGCCTTCGATCACCTCCATATGCATAATGATTGGCCACTTCTTCAATCATCTTATATGCATCATCCACCGATAGCTTTTTGAGGCTACCACTGGCCCCGGAATCAAGGTTGGCCCTTGAAATAGGAGTAAGACCGTCATAGAAGCTTTGTACAATGATCCATGATGTAAAACCATGGTGGGGGCATTTCCTTGTGTAATCTTTGAAACGCTCCCAAGCTTCACTCAATGTTTCATCAATGTCTTTATTGAAATTGGTGATCTTTCTTCTTAATTCGGCGGTCTTTTCCGGAGGACAATACTTTCCAAGAAAGGCTCTAGTGACTTTGTCCCATGTACTCAATGATCCCTCTTCAACCGTTCTCAACCAATGTTTTGCTTTATCACGGAGGGAGAATTGAAACATGTGCATACGGATGAACTCTTCCGAAATGTTGTTTTGCTTGATGGTTGTACACAACTCAAGAAAGTTGTCCAAATAAGCAAAAGGACACTCATGAGGACTACCTCCGAATTGATCGCTTTGAATCATACGGATGAGTTGTGGTGAAAGCTCAAAGTTGTTTGCATTTGTGGTGGGAAGACGTATGCCACTCCGAAGTTGGAATGCGTTGGGGTGGTCATAGTCTCTTAACAATGGTTCAGGAGGATTCTCTCCCATGTTATCTTCTTCGTTAGCTCCAAAAACCTCTTCCGGATCGGAATCCGAATATACAATGGAAAACTCGGGTGTGCCTTGCAAGAGTCTCCTCACGTTTCTCAAAGTCCTATTTAGCTCTGGATCAACGGAAATAAGCGGTGATTGCTTACTCTTTCGTGTCATGCAAAGTCAAACAAAGCTCAGAAAAACGTTAGCAATGACTATCACAAGTTAAACACACATAAACAAAAATTAAGGTAAGAAAACTACTATACATATACACAAATCTAGTCTCATTCAACAATAATACATTCAATGTGACTTTGCCTCCCCGGCAACGGCGCTAAAATTTGATAGGCCGTCGTCGAGCCTACCAAAGATAATAATTCCTATCTTGGTCTCACTAACAATAGTAAGGGTAAGAAAGGGTCGAACCCAAGAGAGGCGTTGAATCAACCACCGAGTACTACCGTTAAATAAGCTAAATGAATTCTAAATTGGGTTGGTTTTAAGTAACTTATTCTAATTCAATTCGACTAAAGCTAAGAGGAGATTAACAATATTAAGAGGAATCTAGGGCTTGGGTTATACCACTCAACTTCATCACAAATCACAATTAGCATGCAACAATCAAGGTAAATTAATGGGATAAATTAGGGGAAGTCATCTAAAGCACCCAACTACTCTCTCAAGCTAGAGGGATTACTTGAATCATGAATACAACCTACTCTCGTGGTTACATAGCATAAAACAAGTGTTAAAGCATATTCACGATGACATAAACATTCCCTTGACCGGTAATCCCTATTCTCATGGCATTTCGGGTCAATCAAGCATAAGGGAGCTAACTCAAGTTCATCTCTCGATCCTTCGTTGAGAAAGCTTGGATAAATAGTTCTAGCAATGGCCATATACAAGAACTAAGCAATTAAACCACTTAAGCTCAACTAATTAACATCCCACAACAACCAAATTAACACATGAAACAAGTAATTAGTGACTACATTGAGGGTTTACCCAAACCCTAGAATTGAGACTACTCACAATCCATGGAGGTTAAAGCAATTAAAGATTTCAAGCAATTCATGAACAAGTTCAAACTAAGGATTAAGCTAATTAACAATCTAAACATGCAAGAACTAGCAAATAATTAACAACAAAGTAAAAAGAAGTAGAAAAGATGAGTAAGAAATGGTTACTATGAAGCTTCAAAGTGAGCAACAATGGTGGATTTGTCTTCTACAATGATTGAATTTGAATGTTTCCAAGCTAATAATTGAGAACTAACTAATGATTTGAGAATTTAATGTTCTAAGACTACAAACTAAGAGGAAAGCTCTAAAAAACTGCATAGTCCGTACAAATGAGCTCAAAGGGGGTATTTATAAGACCCCCAAATAAAAAGGACGGAGAAAACAAGAATCGGGCTTGACTGCAGGTCCGCACGGACGTGCCAGATTCGGCACGGACGTGCAAGCATAAGCACGGTCGTTCCAGATTCGGCACGGACGTGCAGAGGGGGCAGAATTGAGGCAGAACGTACTGCTAAGAATCAAGCAGCCCCGCACGGACGTGCAGATATTGGCACGGACGTGCAGATATTGGCACGGACGTGCAGCTACATATGCACGGACGTGCTTAATTTGGCACGTCTGTGCAGGCCTTGGCATAATGTTCTAAGTTTCTGGAGCACTCCTGCACGGACGTGCAAGGTCTGGCACGGCCGTGCAGCCTCTTCTGCACGGACGTGCCAAATTAAGCACGGCCGTGCAGGCCTTGGCAGCTTGTTGAAACTTTCTGGAACCTCCTGCACGGACGTGCAAGGTCTGGCACGGCCGTGCAGGGTATTTTAAGCCCTTTTTTCCATCTTTTCTTCTATATTACTCCTTTCCTTGGCTTCTTTTAACCATCTTCTTGCTTCTAACCTCGGCTTTTTATCCATGGGCTCCATTTGGTCGTTTTTTTGAACCTAGAATCTCAACAAAAACACCAACAACCCGTGAAGCATAGGATACACAAAAATTGCATAATAATAGAGTAAAAATGAACCAAAACGCAAATTTTATCAAGTAAACTAGGTTCAAAACACCCTAAAATCATATCAAATAGCAAGTTATCATGAAACCATCTAATTTGCCTTATAACACTCAATTTGTCCATTCGAAACTTGCACCTATTTCGTAAACTCAAGTCTACCACAAAAATTTTTAACAACATATAATGGTTATATATGGATCCAAACGTCATTATATTACCCTAAAAAATATCCTTTAAGGTCTCAAGAATTTTCTCCACCGAACCCCGTAACGTCAAAAATTACTTAAAATGCGTGGATAATAGCCTTCAATTTTGTAAATGTTTGACCTTTATTTGCTCGGATATAAAAATTGCCGATAAATTTACCATAGTCCCCAATACCCTCCAGGAGTCCAATTGGGTGGGTGGAACCTTCTAATTTTCCTTAAAACGCTCAATTAGCCTGTTTTAAACACTCACCGATTTCGTGAACTCAAGCCTATCGCGGACATTTATGAAAACATATAATGGTTATCTATGGTTCCAAACGTCATTAAATGACCCTAAAATGTATCCTTTATGGTTTCAAGACTTTTCTCCACTGGACCACATAACGTCAAAAATTCCTCAAAAAGCGTGGATAATAGTCTTCAATTTTGAAATATTTTGACCATTTTTTGCCCGAAAATAAAATTTTTCGAGATGTTTACCATGATACCTAATACCCTCCAGGAGTCCAATTGTGTGGGTGAAACCATCTAATTTGCCTAAAAACACTCAATTTGCCTGTTTAAAATTTGCACCGAATTCACGAACTCAAGCCTACAACGGACATTTAAGACTACATATAATGGACATATATGATTCCAAACGTCATTATATGACCCTAAAATGCATCCCCTAGGGTCTCAAGATTTTTCTCCACCGGAACCCGTAACGTCAAAAATTCCTCAAAAAACATGGATAATAGCCTTCAATTTTCCCATAAAGAAAAATTTCCGAGATGTTTACCATGGTACATAATACCCTACGGAAGTCAAATTGGGTGGGTGGAACCATCTAATTTGCCTTATAACACTCAATTTGTCCATTCGAAACTTGCACCGATTTCGTAAACTCAAGCCTACCACGGACATTTATAACAAAATCTAATGGTTATATATGGCTCCAAACGTCATTATATTAACCTAATCTGTATCCTTTAGGGTCTCAAGAATTTTCGCCACTGGACCCCGTAACGTCAAAAATTCCTTAAAATGCGTGGATAATAACCTTCAATAATTTTGAAATTTTTTGACCTTTATTTTCTTGGAAATAAAAATTGTCGAGAAGTTTACCATAGTCCCCAATACCCTCCAGGAGTCCAATTGGGTGGGTGGAACCATCTAATTTGTCTTAAAACGCTCAATTAGCCTGTTCTAAACATTCACCGATTTCTCGAACTCAAGCCTATCACGGACATTTATGAAAACATATAATGGTTATCTATGGTTCCAAACGTCATTAAATCACTAGTAGAAAAAGGCTTAATTGCGTCGCTCATTATAGTGTATTTTCGTCGCTTCTATGAGCGACGCAACTGCTCGCGACTTAAATGACTTAAAAGTCATTTGCGTCGCTCCTAGGCGCGACGCAAATAAGAGTCATTTGCGTCGCTCCTTTATAAAGGAGCGACGCAAATAACTCTTCTAATAAACTTGTTTTTTGTTATTTGCGTCACTCCTTTATAAAAGTGCGACGCAAATGACTCTTATTTGCGTCACTTCTTTATAAAGGAGCGACCCAAATAACTCTTCTGATAAACTTCTTTTTTATTATTTGCGTCACTCCTTTATTAAGAGCGACGCAAATGACTCTTCTGATAAACTTCTTATTTGTTATTTGCGTCACTTATTTATATAGGAGTGACGCAAATGACTGAGTAGACAATACAAAATTGTTGTATTTGCATCACTTGTTTGTTTAATGAGTGACGCAAATGAGGTGAATTTTTTTTTTAAAAATTATAATAATTGCCTTGTATATGTTTGTAGTACCTGTTTTCCTTGCTAGTGGTATAAAGTAATATGCTAACGCTAATAATTGAAATTAAAATGCAATATTATTGAATTTAAATGTAAATTTCAGCAGAGTCTCAAAATTTTACAACTCAAAATTATTGATATCATCAACCAACACAAGAACAAAGACCAACCCAAAATGTTGGTACCCCAAATACATTCATTTCAAGCCTAAGAACTAAAACAAAAAAAAGTCTAACAAACAAATGGATTTAGCTAAGTTTAAATCTAAATTTCAACATTGATCATGAAATAGTTTGACTAAATATCTCGAACCTCATTTATCTCCTCCCCATTATAAGGTATTGTTCTTCAAAAATCCTGTTAACACAACACAAAAACAAAAACTAATCAATTCAAGAGTGTAGCCAATTTAAAATAAATTGATGAATTAGTAGTGAAAGATCTGACAACACATACTAACAAGATCCTCATTACTACGGTGATGTTGAACTGTTTCAAACATATAGTACACGACATAGTAGCCACATCTCACTTCCTCCCAATTTTTGATGATACTACACGCTCGCATCATAGCCACAAAGTCAATAGACTCATTCAACTCATTTCAAACAAGATAAAACCTAAGCATGAAAAATAAGAATACTAATCATATCATTCTCACCACATTTTAAAGAGAAAAACATCTCGGATTAGAACTTAATTCACAACTTTAAAGAGAAAAACAGGCCATTATATTCAGTTTTGATAAATTTATATCCATGATTTAAGGATCATACATATATTAAATCAAAATCAATCTTCTTCAATAATTCTTCCTGTAAATTCTGCAATTGCAACTATTACAGTAACTAATCCGAGATTTTTAGTAACGTATTATTCGAATTTTGCATTCTTTACAATGTTAGCATCATTCATTGACTCCAGAGTAAGATCATGATATCTTCGATTCGAACACTTGGTGATGAGGACTACTAAAGATTAGATTTCAGCTAGAACTCTACAGAGTTAATATACTGCTGGAAGGTTGGGTGATTATTTCATTATTTGATTAATAACATACACAAATACTATGGACCAATTTAAGCTACAATTGCTATTAATCACGGCCCTAATAAGTTTAGTCCTGTTTTACCAAAGTTTATATTTCTAGCTTAAACATGTTCATTGTACCTGTCTTCTCGTAGACAAAACAAAATGAAAATTGCAGTGCTATTATTCTCTTAAAATACGAAATGCAAAAACAGAATGTCATCAACTCATAATCACTTTATCAGTAAGTAGTAATTAACATCATCATTTCAATTTGAGGTAAAAAATATCATACACAAAACAAAGGAATAACATTGTGTCATTATTTTGACTACTTCTCTTAAAATTCTTATTCAGTAATGAAGAACTAGATTATGCCGCTTTAATTGTAATTTTTTTTTAAAAACTTCAATTGTAATGTTAAATTACTTTTAATATGAGAGAAATCAAGTAAGAAATTAATTATTACCTCAAATTATAGAACAACTAAACCAGAAAATTCACTGAATAACAATAAGATTAGAGTTAATTTAAATATAAGAGAGAGAAACCTTGACATTATCCCCTGCAATTCACAAACAACTCAACAACAAAATAGCTATCTGCAAAAAATTTCCCACTACACTAGGCCAGACCACCGCACTCACCATCAACCACAAGCACCTGCTGCATACCTGCACCAAGTAATTCACTAATCTAACTTTATATCTAGATACAAACACTCGACCAAACAAGAAAAAGTCAATATAATTAAGCAATACTCTAGAAGTAATCTGATATAGAAACAAATACTTTATTTTTATAATGGAAAATCTACTAATTTTGTAATAAGAATCTATTATTACACTAAATCAATAATCTGACAAAATTCCAATCAACATATAACAAACTAAACAGAAATTCAACTATAACACCAAATTAATTTTTTTAATTTCACGCCAAAATCAATACACACTCATGAAATTAAATTTTGACCCTACATCATCTACTAAGTTAAAAATTCTTATAAAATTAAAATCATTTCGCAACTCTAATTACAGTAAAATTAAAAACATCATATAAATCAATAGCATAAAACGATAATTTAATAAAATAATTTAAATCAATCAAAATTAAATCATTTTGCACTTCTTATTACCTAAAACGATAATTTCTCACCTCTTATTACTGTCAACCATCTCCACTGCTTCCCCTGCTAACCATCAACAGCAACACCAACAAGCAGCAATCCCTTGCTAGCCTCGATGTAGAGTATTTCATCTCGATTATCAGCGGTTTTAATAGTTCGAATTTCGTGGGGGTTTTGGTCGATTTTTGCTCAAAAATAGGGTGTTTTTCCTCGGATTTGCTTGAAAATGGGGGGTTTTGGCTTGGAAATTTTGGGATTTTCAATTACTGGTTGAATTTATTGATTTTGGGGTCAAATTTGTTGTTTTGGGGTCGAATTTATCAGGGTTTTGCTGTTGAATTCGCTAGGGTTTTGCAGTACGAACGACAACAAGGCAGCGCTGAAGATTCGGCTATTTAGACAAATTTCTTGAGGTTTTGATGTTGAATTTTAGGGGAATTTTTCAGTTGAAGCTGCTAGGGTTTTGAAGTTCGAACGGCGACAGGCAGCAAGAGTGTTTTATATTGAATGTGAGGAAGAGTTGAGTGGATTGTAATTGTAATAGTCATTTGCGTCACTCAATAAGGAAAGAAGTGACACAATTTACTCACAAAGCTATTTGCGTCACCTGTTAATAAATGAGCGACGCAAATAACATTATCTTTTGCGTCGTTTTTATTTATGAAAGCGACGCAAATATGAGTAAGCTGAAATATATCAGTCTTTTGCTTCGCTTTGTAGTTAATGTGCGACGCAAATTACTTATAGTGAAGCTAAAATATATTATTTGCGTCATTTGTTTCTACGAGTGACGCAAATAAGGTGACGCAAATGAGCATTTTTCTACTAGTGAATGACCCTAAAATGTATCCTCTAGGGTCTCAAGACTTTTCTCCACTGGACCACTTAACGTTAAAAATTACTCAAAAAACGTGGATAAAATTTGAAATATTTTGACCTTTTTTTGCCCGGAAATAAAATTTGCCGAGATGTTTACCATGATCCCTAATACCCTCCGGGAGTCGAGTTGTGTGGGTGTAACCATCTGATTTTCCTTTAAATTTGCACCGATTTCGTGAACTCAAGCCTACCACAAACATTTATGACATCATATAATGGTCATATATGGTTCCAAACGTCATTATATGACCCTAAAATGTATCCTCTAGGGTCTCAAGACTTTTCTCCACTGGACCCTGTAACGTCAAAAATTCCTTAAAAAGTGTGGATAATAGCCTTTAATTTTGGAATTTTTTGAACTTTTTTTGTCCGGAAATAAAAATTTCCGAGATTTTTACCATATTCCCTAATACCCTCTGGGATTCCAATTGGGTTTGTGGAACCATCTAAATTGCCTTAAAACGCTCAATTTTCCCATTCAAAACTTGCACCGATTTCATAAACTCAAGCCTACCACGGACATTTATGACAACATGTAATGGTTATATATGGCTCCAAACGCCATTATATGATTCTAAAATGTATTTTCTAGGGTATCAAGAATTTTCGCCACCGGGCCCCGTAACGTCAAAAGTTCCCCAAAAAGCGTGAATAATAGCCTTCAATTTTGGAATTTTTTGACCTTTTTTTACCTGGAAATAAAAATTGCTGAGAAGTTTACCGTGGTCCCCAATACCCTCTGGGAGTCCAACTGGGTGGGTGGAACCATCTATTTTGCCTTAAAACGCTCAATTTGCTCGTTTGAAATTTGCCCCGATTTCGTTAACTCTAGCCTACCCGGACATTTATGACAACATATAATGGTCATATATGGTTTCAAAGTCATTATATGATCCTAAAATGTATCCTTTAGGGTTTCAAGACTTTTCTCCACAGGCCCCGTAACGTCAAAAATTCCTAAAAAAAAAAAACCGTGGATAATAAGCCTTCAATTTTGGAAATTTTTGAAATATTTTTTTTGTCCGGAAATAAAAATTGCCGAGATGCTTACCTTGGTCCCCAATACCCTCCGGGAGTCCAATTGGTGGGTGGAACCATCTAATTTTTCTTGAAACGCTCAATATGCCCATTTGAAACTTGCACCTATTTCGTGAACTCAATTTGCCCGTTTAAAACTTGCACCAATTTCGTGAACGTTCAATAGTAAAATTTGGTAAATTTTCTAAGGTTATAAACTAATAAATGTATGCATTAATAATCCTTACTCATCAGTCTCATCACAAACGACGCCTCAAGTACATGACATATACTGTTTTTAAAAAAAAAAAATACAAGACATATATAGGAACAACAAGATCAAAACATTGCATACTCTTGAAATCATTATAAGGATTTATCATTAATTTTTATTAAGATGATAAATGTCCAGGTTATAGCAAAGCCAAGCCAAGCAAAGCAATGCGAGGGACATACCACACACGTACATTTTTTTTTGGTCACAACTTAGCACACTAAGTCGCTTGTGTTATTCCGAATATTATATTACATACGAGTATTATACATAATTTGTTATGAAGTATACTTCTTGATATGCAATAGGGAAATCTATGGTCCCCCTGGGCTGTTGATACTGAAGGTAGAATTGACTACAGCCACCCCTTAATTAAAACCCTAAAATAGGGGAAATTGAGGTTATATGGGTGTACTTAGTGGTAGTTGGGGCTAAGTGAGTGTAATTAACTAGTTATTAGAGGTAATTGTGTTGTATGGACATTGGTTCTGGGCCTCATTAACAAATAATGTTCATAAAAAGTGTTTTTCTTTTTTGAATTATAAGGTAGTTAAGGTGCATTCTATTCACCTGATTTTTATTTATCTAAACTTATCTAATCTTATCTGAACTTGTCTTAACGCATCTAAACTTATATGAATTATCACAATTTATCTGAACTTATTTTTTCTGAACTTATCTAATCTGAACTTATTAATTAACCCTTATTTGAACTTATTCGAACTTATTTTTCCTGAAATAAATGGAAATAAGGTGAATAAAACAGGGCCTTATTTGCAAAATGAGTGTTTTTTATTGGGAGTAAATGTATACATACCCTATTAGGCTCACCAGGGGTGTCGGGTTTGGACCAAGACAGTATCCATCCAAGGGCAAGAGGAGTTGCATCACGCTCGAGACCATACAAGAGCGCCCCCTTAGAGCCCTTGTGCACAAACACAGCCCCATCACCTCCGTTGATGTAATCAGGAAGCCTCGCCATAAAATTCCCAATCCAACTATGGTTTCTGTACGACCTCATTCGTTGTCCGAAACTGCTTCTGATGGAGACCACTGCCATTGCTTGAATCTGATTATTGCTTATGTTGTTTGTCATTATGTAGTTCTTTGCGTCTTTCATCCCCTCTTCCATCATCGCCTTTTCTTTCTCACCCATCACATTGTCCCTTTTCTGTTGCACAGACGACGCCATTCTTCTTCAATTCTGTTACATTTCTCACAAAATTATCTGTTAATGTATGAATAGTGAAAAAAAAACAGATTAATTAAGTGCAGATACTGTATCATTTTATTTTTGTAAGTCTTTTGTACCGAAGCTTCTAGCATAGTCGTCGACTACGGATGACTATGGTTAACTAAAATAAAAGACTAAATTTCAGCTATTCGATGTTTTCAATTGCTTAATCTATCCTTCTAAATTTTTTTTAGTTACACATCATTTAAGTCATAGCGATCAATTTCGATGACGTACATGTGAATTAATTAACAACATGAGTCAACATAAATATTGACCTACATACATATTCTTTAATTGCACTTTTTAAACGATTAAAATTTCACAACATATATCACTTATATTAGTATCAATGAATTTGATCTGAGTGTAATGAAAATGCCAGGGGCTAAAACAAGGGGTGAAAAGAGAGAGCGTACCTTAATTGAAATAGTATATATGTTACAGATTAATTAAAATTTGAGGATATGTAAGGCCAGAGGACAAAAGGATTGTCTATTTATAGACAACTGGCGATATATGAGGATAATCATGCATGCATTATTGAAATGATCTAGCTTTAATTTGAATTAAAAAAAATAAAAAAGAAAAAAAGAAAAAAAAGAAGAATAAGAATATCTTTATAAATGATGAAGAATTTAAATAGATATATTAGAAAATTTTATTCATTGAAGCATTATTTATGCGTTAATACACGTATTTTTTCTTTGTTTTCACAATAGCAAAGGCAACAACAAACCAACACTTTTGTCAAAAAAAAAAAATAATAATAATAATTAGAGATGGTAAAACGACATCTTCTTGCTATGTTGTTCGCCCTTTGAACCTGTTCTCTTGGGACTTTGAGAATTGCACACCTGTTATTACACGTTCTCGGTGTGTAAGAAAACTCACAAAATTAAAGAAAAAAAATATATGCAAGGGTTTGCAACTGAGTTAGCTAATTGTCGGTAATCGATCTCTAGCAAGCAAACTAAGATTTGACTATAGTAATTCGGTCGAACCTACTATTACTTATGAACAATTGAACCATGTAGGATTGTATCTTAGCTTTAAGCACCGTAGGGCTGTAGGACTGATTTTAGCCATCGGGAATTGGCTATTTTCTTGTTGTGAAAATTAATCGAATTTTCTGTTTAAGAAAATTCAAAAAACAAATGCATGAAGTATCACACTTTATGAAGTCAAAGGATATAGTATTCCGTAGTATTTGTGGAGAAGAATCAATTTTTAGCTAGGTTTGCATCCGATTCTTCAAAATTAATTTGTAATGGGTATCATATTCTTTGATATTGGAGAATTAATCCTGCCACTAATATTACTTTGTAATTTACTAAGGGTTATTTTTTTGATAATGGTCCTCCAAAAAAAGGAATTAATTTTAAGGCCCAATAGTTTACAACTAAATAACAATAAGTCAATTTAGCCAAGTTTGCGGGATAGACATTTTAAGAGGAGGAACGAGTATCGTTGTAATTGTCATCTTTTAAGTCTGCATCCTATAGCCGACCACAAGTTTTTTTTTGACACCTTTCCAAAATGCCTCGTATTAATATAGTGTAGTCTGATTGCTCATGCAGTCTCACTTATATGAAAGTCTTCTGATTCTTATTTTTTTCATGTGGGACTTGAATTTGTTGAAAGGAACACCTTCAATTCAGAGTTTCCCATCGAGCATAATAATGAGTTAGGTTTGGCAAATGGATGAGATATGACAATGCATTGAATAGCTTAATTGACCATTTTCTAGGATATCTTTGACTTGGGTGGCCTGGCTTGTGTTACTAGCCTTTTTCTTGGTGTCTTGATAAATCAAAAGGCAACATACAATATTTTGTTCGTTTCTTTGCGAAAGCAGCTAGATCGAGTATCGTTCGATGCAACTGTACGTGGCTTGTAATTTAAAATGTTAAAGCAATTGCATGCTTGGTAATTTATAAAGGGTTCATCATTTATGCGCTAGGTATGCAACTCATTTCTTTTAGTTATTCTGAGATACATTGCTCAAAACCTGCAAAACCCGGTGTTACATAGGAGAACGGAACACATTGAACTGAATCGTCATTTTGTGACAGGCATTATCAAAGATAGGATGATTTCAATTGCTCTGGTGCAAAGGGAATTTGAGATCGTCATGCTTCTAACTTGAGGGAGGTGCATATTGATAAAATTAGTGTTCTAGATTTACGAGAGGTTTTTATATATTAAAGGAGTGTGTGTGAATAATGTCCATTTCCAAGCGTGCAAATATATAGATATATTTTATGATTTTTTTACCTAGTTAAGTGGACGAGGAATTTAGGGTATATTGTATATACAATTATATATACTACAACCATTTATATTATTAGCAACATCTATCAAAAATATAGATGTTTCATATGTATATTCTTTGCAACTATTATTTTCCTTTTTAACCTGTTATTTTCCTAATCTCTCTCCTCATCATATGCCATTAGTCGAAATAGATCGATCTATGTACTATTTTATTTATCTCTTCTTCATTTAACACTCACAAAATAACATTTGTCTAGGACTCCGTGCAACCCCTCTAGAGTTACAAATAATTAGAGATTGTATGTTGAAGTTGAATTAATGAGGACGAGAATTCAATTCAAGACTTATTTATCAAATTATCTTTGTAGCCTTTTATTTTAAATTTGGTTGTTACGTATATATAAGCGATATAATAAGTTTAAATAAACAAGTTAGAACACACTCAAATAATAAAATATGAAGATTTAGTCATATATATAGCGTAAATATGCTTGCATTACAAGAGAGATCTTTATTTTAATTAAAACAACTACTATGTAGTACGAAGCTTATTATTGTGAAATGCGTACTTGCATAACACAACCAGCAGGAACCTCAATACCTCATTTAGCAAGCCATTTGAATAATAATCATTACATAATAAGCTAATTCGAGAGATATGCAACTAGGGCAAAACCATAGTTTAGAGCATATATCTTCCCTCCTAAAATTGGGTCCTCGTATTCACTTCTATATTCAGACGCATCAAGTTTGACTTTGATAACGTTCCAGTCAACTTCTCCCATTGGCCCGGCTTCTACATAAGCCTGTACACAATATAATTTTAACAATCATTAATTCTAGTACATTTTAAAACAGTGCCGGATCTTGGGCCAAAAAGTTAGAGGGCCATGATTTGATCGTTCATTTTTTGCTAAAAAATTACATTATTTAACCAATATTTGCTCTAACTATTCAATTTATTAGATACCATATTACTTATAACATTTTCTATTTTAAGAAAAAAAAAGACTAAAATCAGGAAATAGAAATGGGTTTTGGGGGTAATACCGTACCTTCTGTTTTGGAGTGTCAAAAGCCACAAGCCATTTCCTTGCAGTGGAATCAGTACCATCAGCATAAACAATCCCCCCTACAGATCCTTCTGGAAGTGGTCCTCGGTGATCGAACCGGACTTCTTCATCCTGAACTGGAATGAACTCGGGGTAGGACGTCACCGGCTTTCCAGACCAGTTATGCTCATCAACCTTTTGCAAGGTTATATTGTCCTTAGTACGGTTTACAAGGAAACCTCGAGTAAGCGATTGCACCTCTGCCTCGACCTTTCCTTCCGAAGCTATTTTAGCCTTTGCTTTTGCCATCACCTCCTCTATTGCAGCTATTTCCTTGTTGCTTAGCACCGATGATGGGACTTGTTCGGTTGAAGCCATGTTTTCTAGTCCATGCATGTTAAACAATAGATCGAATAAATAACTAACATAGTTTGACTTTTTGCTCTATTATTTCCCTATCCTTTATCGAAATTTATAATCATTGTGTTTAATATAATTTTATTGTGTAAAATATTGTTACATATGTAGTATATATTAAAATAAAATTTCATAATATTAACTTTATAATAATTATAATTATTTAAATTTAGTATTATATACTTGTATATATTTTAATGGATTGGATTAAGCTAGTGCATTAACAAATGTGTGATATTTAAATGTGTTACCTCACTATGAAAGATAAGGGAAATAATTTTGGCAATATAAATTGATGAGAAAGTTAGTACATACTTTGTATATTTAGGAATACGAGACATTATGATTACCACCATTATGCTACGCGTACTAATTTAAATTAATTAACCTTATATATACATTTTATTGTGCTAAAATAAACGTCACATAATTTACCTGGCCTAGCAATAAATGATTAGGAGGCAAACTGAGTTACATACCTTAATTAAGTTTGATACTGTTATAGTGAAGAGCGCTACTACTGGATAAAAAACGTATTTGTTGTGAGATGATACAATGCCTATAAGGGCAAATAAACTTCATATTTATAGGAAGGATATGAATCTAAGAACAAGAGCACCTCTAGAAATAATATATAACCTTTTGTTTTTGGGCAAAGGGAAGCTAAGTAATAATGGCGAACTTATTCCCAATCAAAAAGATGTTTTAAAACATGCACACGCACTTACACACATGAAAAAAATAATAATAAGAGAAAGTGAATTTATTCTGTCACCTTATTAATATGTTTTCAAATTAAAATTAATTAACTAAGGCTGGAAAAACAAACTCATTACGGTAGACTTGGTCCTTTAATTTAACATGATAGTTATTATATTTATGATAATATTTGTTGCAGTTTACGATAGATTTTTTATGTATATTTTGTATCCTCATCGTACTAGATTTCCTAACGTGATTAGGATTAATATTGTAAACTCTATATATATATTGATCAATGGTACAACTCTAATTTGAGAAGTTTTCCTAAATTTACCATGGTATCAAAGCCAGCGTGACGCCATCAAGGTCATGACTTTGAATCTCGTCCACCTCCACTTTCAAGTGGAATATTTTGCGCAGGATATGCGGATCAGGGCCTATGCTACAACCACACTTCAAACCCAATGGGCTCTTGTGTGAGGGGGTGTACGTGATAGAGTATAAAACATATTTCTAGAATTCAACATCAGTTTAAGTTTTTTGTTGAGTTGATCCTTTAACACATCATATATGTTTCTTGTCTTGAATAAAATTAATTGATTGAGCTAGTCTCTGCTCAAGTTCTTTGTTGCCCTATTGCTTTACTCGTTCTATATGAGTAGGCATACTTTATTGTTTCATATTCCAAAACTAAGTTTATGTTAGAGAACTACTCAATCAAAAGCTTAAACTAGTAAATGAATTTCAAAATTGATATATATCTCTATCATGCTTCGTCACAATTGAAATTAAAGGGGTTTTGACCAATGTTTTTTTTTTTTTGGTCTTCATTAGGTTCTTATGTTAGGCTTTTTAACATGGTCAATAACAACAAATAAGTGTTTGGTAATTGACTTTTTATCTTAATTGAAAAAAGCAGTCTTACTATTTTTTTGCTTCACCTTATTATTTTTCCGCCCTTAATTACTTTTCACTAATTAACACTTCCTCTGTTTTCTTTTAATTGCAACACACCTTTTTAACACGTTTAATTTTTTAGAAATTGATTAGAGTAGGTAAACGAGATATTTTATCAAAATAATTTTAACACCAAGATTAGAGAAGGGTTATTAAAAGTATGTGTATAAATTATTTTGATTAATTTTTCCGTTTACATATTCTAATAATCTATTCCCTAAAGTGCATGCTAAATAAGAAGGTGTTTTGCGTTAAAAAAAAAGACCCTAGAGCTAATTATTAGCTATTATTCCCTCCGTTTTTAATCTTTTTTTGGCCGTTTTTAAAT